AACCTTATCTTGTCTCCCTCATGCATAAAAAAGAAAAGAAACTTGTGTAGGATCCACTCCCACATTAACATTCATAAATGCATTGCCCTCCTTTCTGCTCCTCTCATCTTTCTGCCTGCATTTTTAAATATTACACAGTATTCAACTTATAATTTGTACAATTAATGCTGTTCAAGGTTCAAGACTACATTTTTTTCCTCCATAATTTACTTCAAGATTCTTTTGTACAGTGCCTTTATCTTCATCTTTTATTGTTTAAATCAAACAGCAACAGCATATAGTATAGGTGCCATGTAAAGAACAAAGAGATGGTTTATGTTAAACTCATGCATTTACTATCCATTTTTTCCACTTCCTTCCAATTTTTTCTAATGTTTTCTTGTTTTTTTATAACATCACATTTTTCACTGTTAATCTATCCATCATATTCTACTTTTACCTGTCATTTTAAAACGTATTTTTGGAAAGCCAACATTAAAATACACTTTCCTTGAATCATTTAAAAATCAAAACCAGAAAGATTTTGTAGGATGTAGGAACAAAGTAAAATTCAATGCAAAGTGCAAACCAATTAAATTTCTACGAGTAATAACTTTGAGTTATGAATCCGGAAATACGGTCGACATTTGTGCCAAAAATATATTAGATCGACTTAGAACCTTCACATGGAGGGGCCGGTCTACATTATTTACATTATTTGTGCCACTTTTATTTATTTATTTTTTTAACTTAATAAGAGTGGGGGGTGGGGTATGTGTTCGTTGGTACTTGGTAACGCAGTACATTTATTTAAAATCAATATTGTAGTAAGCCCCTTCCGTCCCGAAATGTTTGTCTGCATTTAATTTTTTTTGGGTCAAAATTACTTAAATTTCATCCTAAATTAAATAAAAATGATACTCCCTCCGTTTCTTAAAACCCTTCTTTTTTCATTTTTTTTTTATTTTTCTTAAAACACTTCCTTTTTCTATTAAAAAACCACTTTACCCCTACTTTTTCATACCCTACCTATCACATCATACTTTTTCACTAACAACCAAACTATCACATCTTATTTTTACCCATCACATCAAGGGCAAAATTGGAAAGTCAACTACAATTTAACACTTCCTTATTTTCCCCCAAAGTCAAAAGAGGAACTCTTTTGAGAAACGGAGGGAGTATTAAATATTTAACTGGACAAATACATCGGGACGGAAGAAGTAATATGAATTGGAATTGAATGAAGTATGAAATGTACCTTGAATTGAATGGAGGTGGTGAATCAATGGGCTGCAACTTGTTCTTTGTTTTGAGAAGGAGAAGAAGCATGATGGGTTGGTTGTGTGCCATTACCATTACCATCATCAACATCATCATCATCATGATCATCATCACCCTCACCATCCATATTAGTATTAATCTTTAGGTTTTGTTGGTAATAAACTTGCCTCAGCCTCTCTATCTCCCTCTTCAATGCGTCTTGGTGAGCTGCACCCATACATATGCATATATCCTCAAATTAATACACACCCACACATATATACAATCGTTAATTAATAATTACATAATTAATTCTTAGTAAAAGACTCCACAATTATTCGAAAAACAAATTACTGACATTATTTTTCTTACTCACACTAATTAATATTGTTACAAAATACAAACGTACATATATAATACTCCTTCCGTCCCACAAAAACTTGTTTTGACTTTTAAAGGAATAAAGGGGAAGGTATTCTGGTGTTTACTTTTTAAAATGCCCTTGATTGTGATGAATAAAAAATAGTATGTGATGCGTAAATTAATAGAGAAAAAGTGTAATGTGGTATGTAGAATAACGAATAAGGAGTAATAGAAATAAAAAATAGACAGGATTAATTTTTGGGACAAGAATGATATTTGGAACAAATGAAAAAAAGGAAACCAAAAGAACATTGTAATTGGTCCGCTTTGGTCATTCAGTTCACACCCTACAACCAAACATGACCATAGGAGATACTCCGTATATATAGGGACTACCACATGGACATGCATGAATTCATGGAAAAACTAAGTAGCTAGGTATATCATTGAACCCGGCCATTAGGAAAATTAAAAGTGGTTAAATTTGTCCCAAATAAGTTTATACCAATTTAACAGAATTCAGGAAACCTATTAAAAAGGTAGCTTTAGTTAAATCTCTCTCATTTAATTATGATTGTTATTCCTAAACACACTTTTCTCTTCTCCCGCTAATCAAATTTTCCATCACTCATCTAATAAGCATTTATTTTTAAATTAAAAAGAAAAAAGAGGGTGAAAAGAGAGAGAGAGAGAGAGAGAGGGGAGACCATCTTTGAAGAGTTTATCCTGAGTAAGGGCAGCAATCCTTTGCTTGAGGACACTGTTGTCCACGTTCAGTACCAGTCTTTGGTGGTCCAGATATGCCACCCTCGGCGACAATACCGATACCTCTGCCTTTTTTTTTTTGTTTTCCCATCATTTTGAAAAAAAACATCATATTAAAAAAAACATCACATTAATAATAATAATAATCATAATCATATACGAAACAATATATTAATAGTACATACTTGGAGGGTGGTAACGCTACGTTCAAGCTCCGAAATGTACTGCAATTTCCTCACCCTCGATCGTTGGGCTGATTGTCTGTTCGCCAATATCCTAATAATAATAATCAAACATTTTTCAACATTAAACTCTTCATTCTTTCGGAATTAGTAACTAATAAGTAATACTCCGTAAGTGTTAATTACTTTCTCTGTCCCTCAATTGATTAAGTAGAGACTACCTCTTAATTCGTTTAGGATCAACAATCTTTTCAGAAGAGTTATTATCCGCAGCTTGATCCTCGGACTTACAAGAGCTCTCCTCCTCCTCCGGCTCGCTCTTCAGCTGCTGTTGCGGCGGCGCCGCCGTCATATGGCACCGGCGTCGATCATACCCGCCGGACATCAGCTTAATGAAACTGTTACTGCAGTCCTCGCCGTCATTGTTGATGCTGTTGTGGTCGGACGTCGGCGACGACGTGTTGGAGCTGGTCAGCCCCGCCGCCACGTCGTCGTTGAACATCGACATGAGCTGCTCGTCGTCGAACCGGTCGAACTCGTTGCCGCCGCCGCCGCCGGGAGTGGACAGCCGCCGGCACTCCTCCGCCATCGGGCTCTCCAGGAACGCTATGGAGTCGCTTATCGACCTCCTGTGGGACCCGCGCTTGGCAGACGAGAAGTCGAGGAACTCGTCCACCCACGACGGCGCCACTGAAGCCGCCGGCGGCAGCGGCGGCGGCGGCGACGGCTTCTGCAGCGCAAAGTCATGCCAGATAGGCGCCGCGGCCAAGTTCGGCGGCGCCCGCGGGGGCAATTGCGCCATTGATATATTTAGGACGAATAAGAGAGAATTAAGGTACTACTACGTACTCCTCAAAACCTTCTTATGACATGCATGCAGAGGATTAAATCAATCAGAGAAAAAAAAAAACTGGGAAACATTAGAAGCATAAAAATGTGCTAAGTTTTTTCGTAGGTTGTACGAGATATGAATATATACTACTGGGGAGGATATGAATGTACATAGGGTAGAGTAGAGTAGGATTAAAATTTAAAGTCAATCTATATTAGGGTAGGGGTCCGACGGGAGGGATGGTGGGGTGGGGGGTCACATGGGTGGGGGTGGAAGCTAAGAAGAAGAAGAAGAAGATTGGGACAGCTATCAACAGCTAGATGTGGGTGTAGTACGTAGAGAAGTTGAGAGAGAGAGACCCAATTAAACTGTATAACTGGAAAGCAAATAAACAATATTTTAATCAAGGGAGGGGGGAATCAGAGAGACCACGTGCACTTGTACATTTTGTACAAAAGTTACCGCGTGTCACTTATGCCTTGTTTGTTTCCACTCTTTCCATCCTTTCGTTTTAGTTTCCATTCAACTCATTTTTTCTAATCTGATCTGATTTTTTATATTCCGTAGTTTTAATCTAATCTAATTTGGCTTTTGAAAATTGTAATGATAATTCATATTATAATATAATCAATATACTTTATTTTATGATTATTTTTTAATGAAACAAAATTAGTTAATTCAATTCATATATTAGAATAATCATTCAAATTATAATGTAATAACATAATGTAATAATATTTTTTCATTCATATCTTATAATGTAATAACTTTAGAAGCTCATAATAATGGTAGAATTAAAATTAATTTAAAAGTAGAATTAGATTGACATTGTCAATGTATTTTAAAAATTATTTTTTTGACGTCTAATAATTAAAGTTTACTTTCTCAGTTTTCAATTTAACTTGTTTGTAAAGTTTATTCTTTTTCATTTTTAAGAAAAAATTTTGCTTCATACTCCCTCCGTCCCGGAGTATTCGTTCAGTTTTGACTTTTGGAACTGTTCATCTAAGCACTTTGACTCATCAAATTCTCTCAATGTGTAAGCCTAAATATAGTCATGTGTGATCTTGTTTGATTTGTCTTAACATATAGATTATTAATATATAATTTCTATAATTTTTTAATATACAAATTACAAGATAAAATGGATTAAAGAAGTGTATTGGATGGTGTGTAAAAATAAAAGTGGACAAATACTCTGGGACGGAGGTAGTATTATTTTATTTTTCTCTACGTAAATTATAATCGCACAAAAGTTGCATTTTCTGTCTTCTTATATTTTTTCAAGAGAAATTAAATTTATTTTTGAAAGAATCGTTTCAAGTGAAACAATTAAAAAGTATAGAATTTAAAAAGTATGTAGTAATAACGATAATGATGATGATAATAATAATAATTTCTAATAATAATAATAACTCTTGATTGGATCTGATCTAGTCTGATTTGATTTGATCTGATTTAATTTGATCTAATCTGATTTTAATAAGAATAAGAAAAAAATAGAAAAAATAAGTTGAAAATGGAGTCTTAATCATAGATTGGTGATAAAAAATATAACTTCTACTTGGTATTTATAGAAGTACTATGTTTAAAGTAGTTGTTTTTTAATGCAATTGCAAATCATCGATTTTGAATGTTACCTCTTAAATATTTTTTTACCAATTGCGAAACGCCGTACTAAGTATAGTTGAATAGATTAAGAAAAGGTGTGAAAGGACGTGATTGCCTCTTGGAAACTATTACCTCTATTTTTAAACTTTCGTCTTTTTTTGAATAATATGCAACAACGTACACTCAATCTTTTAAAATTGATTTTATCTACATATTGACTTTCTTTAAATAACATCATATGCGTTTTTCCCCCGATGTAACATTTTTAGTTATTATTCATTGGTCATTATTTAAATAAATGTTCGTTATCACTAAACATTATTCCTCCTTATAGATATTATTAATTGCTATTTTGAGTTTGTAAACCAAGCATTTCCCTTGAACTTTCGCTCTTTACATTTTTTCTATCTCTAACCCGGAACCGGGAATCCTAGTTCCATCACAATGTTAGGAGGAAATCACGTTCAACGAATCAACGTACATTGTGTTGCATATTTGTATCTTCTCATGTATGCTCCCATCTTTCGTCCAAAAAAATATTTCAATATTTCAAGTTAAAACAACCTATTTAAAGATCTGTCGGTCAGGTTGAGTTCGAATTCAATCACTTCAGGTTCAGATTACCTCGGATTCGGGTCAATTCAGATTCGGATTAAGAACTGTACTGTATGTTTATAACTTAATGTCATCGCGTTCGGGTTGACCCAACGTGTTATGACTTTATTTTTTTTTAGAATTTTTAAATTTATATTAACACTTGCACATTGCATTGAATATAGTATTTTTTTTGAAGACAGAGGGAGTAAGAGATATGGGGTATAAGCTAGTACTTATTCTGTAACAATAATAAAAGAGTTAAGTGCACCGTTTACCTCCGTACTCTTTAGAAATTGCATGTTTTACCCATGAACTTTAAAAAGTGCACCGATTACCCTTGAACTCTTCAAAAATTGCACGATTTACTCCTGCAGACTAAAAAATGCACCAAATACCCTTGAACAAATTAAAACGTTGCATCGTTGGTCCTAAACTATTAGATATGGAGGGCGTTGCTTCCACGCACAAGAATTGCGAATATCATTCATCTGACCCTTGTGAATTTTCCAAAGTATCTTTACCCAAAATTGTCGTCTTTATTTAAATGTTTAGGAGTAAACCGTATAATTTTCGAAGAGTTCAGGAGTATTTGGTGCAATTTTTATTGTTCAGGGGTAAACCGTGCAATTTCTGAAAAATTCAGGGGTATATGATGCACTTTTTAATGTTTGGGGATAAGCCATGCAATTTTCAAAGAATTCGGAGATAAACGGTGCACTTAACTCAATAATAAAAATACCCAGTAATTTTAGTATTTTCCCATCCAAATTTGGGCGTTGAAAAAGAAAGAAAAGAAATGAGAGGAAGAAGAAGAGAACATTCGACTGTAACGAACCCTGCCATGCACATGTGGTTGCGGACCGTCTCATCGGCCAATATGTTTTACGGAGTAGATTTTTTCCTTCCTCTTAAAGTCGTACATTTTCTCACACATTACATTGGACTCTTTTATGTTTTAGTCTTATTTAGTATAAATTTCACTTTTAAAAGAGAAATTTACTTAAATAACACTAAAACATAATGACTTTCCTAATATATGACCAAATGTTTTAAATATATCAATAGGCGAAGATTTATAAAACGAACATAGACCTTAGAACCACGTAATAAGACGCCGTTAAATTTTAGTGACGATGTGTATTACTCTCTCAGTTCTAGTTTGACTTTTGAGAGTCAAATAGGGTGAACTTTGACAATGCGTATTACTCTCTTCTCTCTTAATATTTGTCCAATCTTGATATTTTTCAGTCAAATATTTTCAACATTTGACCTATAATTGAATAAAATATGTACTCTCTCCGTCCCAAAAAGAATGGGACGGTTTGACTTTTTGGGAAATTAAGGGAGGGATATTTTGGTATTGACTTTCCAAAAATACCCTTGATGTGATGGGTAAAAGTAGGATGTGATGGATAGATTATTAGGAAAAAGGTATGATGTGATAGGTAGGGTATGAAAAAGTAAGGGGTAAAAGTGGTTTTTTAATAGAAATGTAACAGACTTTACGGGACACAGTTTTTTTCTAAACGTAACAAACTTTTTGGGACGGAGGGAGTATTAATTAGGCAAAATAATATTTTATGAATATTTTATAAATATTTTATATAATAAATCTAATAAAAGGGGACAAATAATACTTAAAAACGGAGGGAGTATAAAAATGATTTTGTTAGATTTATCATATTAAGAATTTTTAAAATTTTATTTCATTGTACTAATATGCAATACTCCCTCCGTCCCAAAAAGAATGAGACGGTTTGACTTTTTGGGAAATTAAGGGAGGGATATTTTGGTATTGACTTTCCAAAAATACCTTTGATGTGATGGGTAAAAGTAGGATGTGATGGGTAGATTATTAGGAAAAAGTTATGATGTGATAGGTAGGGTATGAAAAAGTAAGGGGTAAAAGTGGGTTTTTAATAGAAATGTAACAGACTTTACGGGACGCAGTTTTTTTTAAACGTAATAAACTTTTTGGGACGGAGGGAGTACAAAATAATGAGAGCAATTGAAGCTCAAAGTTTTTATTCAGTTTGACTCAAAAAAATCAAACTGAACAAACACACTAACTTTTTATTTAAGTATAAAAAAGAATAGTCTATAATTGGCCCTTTATAACTGGGGGTTTTCATATTTAGTCATATATTATCAAACATTACCCCCGTAGTCCTTTTATTAAAGATACATTTCCACAAATGATCCTTGTTTTTTATCTTCTACCGTGTTGGTGTTAATTTAAAGGCTAAAAGTATAATTTGACATCAACATTATATCTAGTGACATATTCTGATATTGGTTAAGCGGATAACACAAAAATAATGACTATGATTGTGAGCTAGGATTCTGACGAAAGACCACATTTGTAGACTATAATTGTAGTAGAAAGCGACTGTAATTTACAAACAACGCAAATGGAACAAACTTTGGAATTGTGTATGACAAAATAAGTATATTATCATTGTAAAATTACATTTTTAGCCATCAAATTAACACCAACATGATAGAAGATCAAAAAAAGGACTTTAGGTAATCCATGTTTATGTTTACACCAAGGTTCAAGTGACATTGGACATCAATGTCATGGGATGACCCGGGGGCGCTCCGGTGTCACGTTCGTAAAATTGACGGTTCTTACTCCCCCTAACCCCCCCGATAAACCCCCCCACCCGGCCCCGACCCGAACACACCCCCCACCCCCTTTCAATTGCACCCCACAAGTTGATTTTGACTTTGGAGTCAAAATATGACTCCAAAGTCAAAATCAACTTATGGGGTGCAATTGAAGGGGGTGGGGGGGGTGTTCGGGTCGGGAGCGTGTGGAGGGGTTAGGGGGAGTAGGAACCGTCAATTTTATAAACGGGGCACTGGAACGCCCTCGGGTCATCCCATGACATTGAAGAGAATGAGAAATTAACGGTCGGCAAGATTTATTAATGGGCAATCACATGCAGCCATCAATTAATGAAAACATGTTTTCTTTATTTGGCATGATGATGATGAGGGCAACTACTACTACTAGTACTATATATACTTTCATTAGCTTTACCTACCATCATGTGTTGTCTAATAGTGCTCTTCTATTCTTTAACTTAAACTAATTCCTACCCTCACAGCATGTCCACTGTTCCCATTAATTAATTTGCCCCATTATTTTTCCCCATCTAACCCTTAAAATATGTACCCAACAAAAAAAACAAACTTAAAAAACACTCTCCCATCCCAAAATGTCTGTCACACAGTGCAAAACAAATTAAAATTATATTTTATTAAATAATCGATTAAAACATACGAACAAATAAAAGTTCTCACAGTTTTTGAATAGTGAAATGTGACATTCTTTTTCTTTTTTGTAAGGAGAGAGTATATGTGCACATTTGTTGGTCAATCTTTTCATCTTATTATTTGACGAGCTCGGAACATTAATCATATAAAATCAAATCATTAACATCCATAATGTTCAATAAACCACTGTTTAACTTGGTTGATCCATCACTTGAACTACATATCATCTCTAGGTGAAATGGGTGCAAATTAAGCAGATGAAATTAATAACAATTTTTAATTACTAATAGCACTCCACCAAATCATCATAAAGAAAAATATCAAAAATAATACGTAGTAATAGTCATACATCTACTCCCTCTGTCCCTGAATATTGGTTACTTTTGACTTTTTTTTGATAAAAAACGTTAAATATAACAAGTTTTTTGTAGAAAGAGATGGGGAGAGTATTAGTTTTAGGAAAAATGCTAGGGGTACACCAAATGTGAAAAATGCTAGGGGTACACCAAATGTGTACCCCATTTGTCCCCCACCCCCTCCTTGTCCACAAAAAAAAGGCAAGAAATTCAAAAAAAATAAATAAATAAAAATAAAATAAAAATGAGTGGTGAAGAAGGGAGTGGTGTACATTTGGGGTACACCTTTGGTGTACCCCTAGCATGGCTCTAGTTTTAGTGCATGATAGCAAATGGTGGATGATTGAGGTGTGGGGATAGATGAGGAGGAGGGAGTAGGGATCATG